CAAAAAGGGAGACACAAGAGACTGCAGCAACTATAGAATCACAATACTGATCTCCCATGTAAGCAAAATCATGCTCAAAATTCTACAACATAGACTCCAACTATACAATGAGAGAGAAATCCCAGAGGTACAAGCAGGGTTCAGGAAAAGAAGAGGCATGAGGGACCACATTACAAACATATTATGGTTAATGGTGCACACCAGGGAATTCCAAAAGAAAATCAGCATGTGCTTTATAGGCTATAGCAAAGCCTTTGCATAGATTATGAAAGGCTAGGGAACGCCCTTAAAGACATGGGAGTGCCAACACATCTGCTAGTCCTGATGAGGAATCTGTACTCAGGACAAGATGCTACTGTCAGAACAGAACACGGAGAAACAGAATGGATTCCAATTGGCAGAGGAGGCAGACAAGCCTGCACCCTTTCACCCTATCTGTTCAACTTGTATGCAAGTTGAAAAGCAGAAGAAGGAGAAGAAGGAGAAGGAGTGAAAATAGGAGGAAGGAATATCAACAATCAAAGATATGCAGATGTCACAATAGTACTAGCAGAGAACATCACAGACCGGGAACATCTACTAGGGAAGATGAAAGAAGAATGTGCAAAAGCTGGCTTAATGCTGAACATAAAGAAAAGAAAAATAATGACCACTGAGGACCTTCATAAGTTCAACCTAGACAATGAAGAAATAGAAATAGTAAAAGAATTCCTATACCTGGGATTAAACATTGATAGAAATGGGGTCTGCAGTCAAAAAATCAGAAGAAAACTAAAAATAAAGAGGGTGGCTATGAAAGAACTAGAAACTATTCTAAAATGGAAAGATATACAACCCAGCACAAAAGTTAGAATCATACAAGCCATTGTATTCTCTATTACTGTGTATGGATGTGAGAGCTAGACAGTTAAGAAAGATGATAGGAAGAGAATCAATTCCTTTGAAATGTGGTGCTGAAGAAGAGTACAGAGGATTCCATGGACAGCCAAATAAGTCCTAGAGTAGATCAAGCCAGAAAACTCCCTGGAAGCCAAGATTACCAAACTGAGGCTGTCGTACTTTGGACACATCATGAGAAGCAGGGATAGGCAACCTTTTTGAGCTGGGGGCTAGGTTGCTGTCCCTCAGACAAT